ACTTACCATACAGCAGTCACTGCTTGTGTGACTGAGGGGGTCTGTGACTCCCTCTTCTTAGTGCCCATGTCCCGGCCCCATTATCCAACCTCTCTCCAGCTTGCCTCTGTTATATTCCAGTCTGATTCTCTTCCAGAAAAGCTGTTTGAAGAGCCCTGATGTGCAGATATGGAAGCATTGTGGAGGTTAGAAAAGGAGAAGCAAGAGCTCGTGGAAGATAAACGACACAAAAAACTGAACCACTAAGGCTTCATCACATTGCGGGTCTTTGTTACAGTAGTTGAACTTACTGTCCTGTGAAGCCAAGGAAATTAACTTTTAATTCCAAAAGAAAATCAGCTTTGCAGTGTTTTCCCACTTCCAGCATGGCTACCTAAGTACTGCCAGGCTTTTCAACATTGTTCTTTTGTTTTAGTCACAGGGACCATAGCTGACTTGGTCTCTCAATTTGCAGTTTCTTCCACTGTTAAAAGGCAGATGCAGAAAATACAGTGTCAAAGCATGCTGAGCTGTGAACTGAAGAGCCTTCTCACCTCTTTGAGAAACACCCTACTTGTAAACCATCCATACCAGCTCACCTCCAGGATGACAGGGCAGGGTGGTTGTGCTTTCAGGCAAATGCTGGTGCTGCCTGTGGGCTCCCAGCAAAGAGGGGATGTGTCTGCCATCTGCCACAGTCTGTGGGATGGCAGAGCTTCAGGACCTGGGGCTGCTGCCCCCGCGCCCACCAGCAGACCCTGCGTGGCTCACAAAGCAAATAGGCCTCTCGCTGTTTTCACATCGAGACGGATCCAAGCAAACAGGGCTAAAAGGTAGTTTGAGATGTTTTTAATTTCACAATTAACATGTAGCATGATGATACCCTTGCTGCTATGCATTGTAGAAAAGTCAAGCAAAGGAAAACAGCAAAAAAGGAATGAATTTGCCTTTACCTCCCTGCTCCCCAAATAAATATTGTGAAGACTTCTGAAGTAATTGCCGTGTGCAGCTTGTGCTGGTGTTTCTAAACTACTTAGTTGTTCCTGGTTAAATGGCTTTGGAGCAGCTGAGGGACAGATGAATGTGCCCCCATGAATTTAAAACAGGCTTCTATGTCTTTGGCATGAGTTGCGAGAAAGAGATGCAAATCTGCAGTGCTGACTTCTCATCCGTGTCTTGCAGTGTCTCTGTTTCACCCCTTACCTTTGCATCTATCCTGAGGATGCTTTCAGAGACAGGTTTTTGCAAGCTGCAGTCTGGAACACGGATGTCATGCTGCATTAGCTTCTCTGCTAGCAAGTGAGAATGTTGTACGAACTCCTAGTTTGTATATTTTCATTCTTGCATCTGGATCAAGCCCCACTGAATGTTGGGGTCCCTCTTTCTAATTTTTTTTCCCTATTTTATTTTTCCATTTCGTAAGAAATATAACCTTGTTAGCTCACATCTTTATGTATTCACAGTAAGCTACTGCTACTGAATGAATGTTGTCGTTCTGAGTAACTAATTTTGCCTGTCAGAAATAATTACTCAGTACAGAATTTTAAGAGCTACTGTTTAAAAAAAATACATCCAATTTCACAGTGTGCATTTAAAAAAAATAATCCACGTATCCTTATGTTTCATGTGCTCAATAAACTGTACTGAGCTTCCTCTTTGAAAATAATTTTTATTGCTAACAAGAATGTGACTGACTTAAACTGTATTTGCCAATGCATGTGTTTACATAATGCAAAATTACAAAAATATATGCAAATATATATGCAAAATTAATGTATTGAACATTCACTTCAGTATAGCTGTTTTGTACAGTCATCTGTAACGATGGCCTTCTCTGGCTCAGACAGTTGCCGTTAGAGGAAAAATATTGAGAGAAGACTTTTAGGAATCTCATATTCTGGAAAAGTATCACTTATTCGAGGTCTAAGGTAGCTAGCATTTAATCACGAATCTAATACAAACATCATTCTTCACATCCCCTTTACAGTCTGAAATCTGAAATTGGTGGATATATTTTGCCTAGATTTTAAAGAACCTGAAACTGTATGCAGTTGCTCCGAAGCGGCGGCGGTGATGGAGCGTGGCTTTTCTGCGGTTTTGACACGTGCATGAGAGCTGATTTCTGCTGGCTTGCAAACTGTGCTGCTGCTGCTGCTTGCAGTGCTAGAACAAGATAGGCCGGTGGGAATTGATCAAGAGGTGAATTACAGAGGCAAAATTCAATTTGTTATTATGATAACCAAATAACATGTGCTTAGACAAATACACCGATCACATTAGCTGTGATGTCCTGTGAGAATTTGTGTGCATAATAGAGATGGAAAAGAAGTTGATTTTAATTATGCTCACATGTGATATTACATGATTTATTCTGACTCTGGACTAGAAAATGGTAAAACTTTTTATATAACAACTGTCAAGGAAAATTAGGGCTAAGCTACTTTATTTTTAAACCTCTTGCAATAGTTTTTTTTTCTACAGTTATCTCAGAAAGCCAATACCATTTCCAAATATATTTTTGAGCCTTTTATGAATACTATATTTTAACCATTAAAGGACTTAAGATAAACAGTAAATATAAGTAAAAGATAAAATAAAATTCTGGGAGCAAAGACGTAGGAGTGGTTCACCTAGGGAAGGAAGAGAAACCTGGATGCTGGTGGGTACAACCATGCAGAGTGACTAGAAGGTATGTTTGATTTGTACGTAAAGAGGCATCTCATCATTGTGGGGAAGGTGGATCAGTCAGTTGGTAGCTGATGGGAGATGACCGGAGGGAATTAAAACAATGAAGCGAACCTTGGTGGTTCATAGGTACGTTTGCCTTTTGTCATAGGTACGTTTGCACTGCTCCATTTGTTAGTTCCTGCAAAACTGTGTTCACGCTAGCTTTTAACAGGCTCCTGGAGACTTTTTAGAAGTAATACTTTGCAGAGCAAACTTAAGGAGGGAATTTTAGATTGCAGAAGTATAGACCAGATAAATAGCTCTGAGCAGAGAACATCAGTCAAGGTGGTTAATCATTGTGAGAGGTGCTGATTCACCCTTTAACAGCTTTTTTCCACAGTGGTAGTCTCACCGACTTAAACTCACATTTGGTTTTTGCTAGAGGATGGTCATGAGATAAGAAATTTATGGTATTGGGATATTTCTTTATGTGTTGATTATGCAAAAGTTAAAGAAAGAAGCCAAGAGTGAAAAAATAATGAATGAATGAAATTATTCTTGTCTTATAAGTGAAGTTACTCTTTTCTGAAAAAATTAACTAGTTCCCTCTACACTTTTGACCCAAAACCTCACAAAGCTAATCTAGCTTTTTCCAGTGTGCGCACAAATGTTGTGCAAGTGTTTGCTCACCTTGGCAGATTTCAAAATATCTTGAATTTCAAATTGAACTTAGAGCAAACTAAGTGAAACCAAATGCTATGTCAATTGTCTGGTAAGGCAGAGGGAATTTTTTTGGTACTTGAGTATTAGTAGGTCCATGAATTAATAGATCTCCATAGGCAAGTTTTTTGTTTTCTTTTGCCAATTTTGAAAAAGCTCAAGTGTGAAGGAAAGCAAATGGTATCTTGACTAAAGACAATACAGAAATTAAATTTCTGATATATTAGTGCTGGGTAAGAGATACTTCTTATCATGATAGCCATAGATCAACTGCTTCACTGCATCTAGTCATCAACATCTGGTTGAGTATTTTATTGATGGCATAGAAATGATGTAAGCAGTAAGCTGTGATCTCTTTCTGCTGGAAGATCAGCTCCATTCTCAGAGCGTATTTGTTAAGTAGATTTCTTTCCAAGAGGTTTAGAGGTAATAGTGACATTTCATTTGGACTGCAAGCCTTGGTCCATTGCTACTAGATGGTCTATACCCACTGGGGGTGGAGGGACATCCAGTGAGCCGAAAAATGCCAGCTTAGTCTCTGTACAGGCAAAGAAGGCCTCTAGTGTCCTACACAGAACACAGGCTACCACACTGCTAAGTGTAAAGTTTGAATTTAATCTGTATCCTGGATAATAATTCAATGACCTGGCTTATCTATTTATGACTTCCAGCCAGGCTTTCTGCACAGGTGATCCAAAGTGAAAAAGAAGTTGTATTATCATTCATGCTACTTGACTTTACAAGGTCATTTATATGTAACTAGCTGAGGTAGAACCACAGGACGGTTGAGGATGGAAGGGACCTTTGGAGGTCATCGGTCCGACCCTCTGCTCAAGCAGTGTCACCTAAAGCAGGCTACTCAGGACCATATCCAGTGGGATTTTGAAGATCTCCAAGCATGATGACTCCACACCCTCTCGGGGTGATCTGTCCAGGGTTTTTCTATGTTTAGGTGTAGCTTACTGTATTTCAGTTTGTGCCCATTGCCTCTTACCCAGTCACTGGACACCACTGAGAAGACCCTGGCTCCTTCTTTATGTCCTGTCAGGTATTTATTACACATTGATGGGATGCAACCTGAACCTTCTTCAGGCTGAACAATCCCAACTGTCGCAGTCTCTCTTCATAGAGATGTGATTAATTGGGAGAAACTGTTTTTTCAGGGGATTGATTTTTTATTTTTTCCCCAATGCTTGTCCTGCTGTCTTTTTGTATTAGATGAGATTTCCTCATAAACTTAGGTCAACTTCAAATAACAGATTGGCCCGAGAGACTGATTGGGAACAATTTTTTAAAAGTGCAATGTAGTCCACATACATAGAGAAAGCAGAGAAAATGAGCAAGGGAAAATAGGTAATGATCTTTACCCCCCGGCCCCGTTAAAGCTGGGAGATACAGATTTAGCCTAGAAGTCGTTTGCCTCAGCAAGACCGAGCATCAGACTTGGGTCTCAATCCTGAGACTGCTCTGAACGTCAGCACTAATCCATCAAATCATACTTTCAGTTTCTTTGGTTTGAAATTAGTGAAAGGGGAAATTGAAGTGAATGACACAGTAATAGTGGCTGCATCCATAGGGACATGAGTAAGTGTTTGCTTTTCTTTTTTTCAGAACATCAGCCAGAAAGAAATCTCTCAAGATTGAGTCTTTTTGAGTAAAGAGAAGATAAAATGGCATCAATGTTGCTTAGTCGACAGCTGACCTGTTGCCTGCAGCAAAACTCCAGACTGCTTGTATGTGGTAAGTGGTTTTTTTGTATTTTCTTGGTTTGTATTTGGTAAGCGTTCGCTTTATGCTAGTGAACAAAATTCCAGTTTGAACATTGCTGGGGTTTGTCTGGTGATCTTGAATCATTCAACTTGAAGAATATGATGTTCTGCATCTTGGATAACGATGCAGTTCCAGTCCAGAAGTGGCCCACAAAGGTGCTGTGCATTTTTGTGTTTTTTATTCTGCAAACAAGAGCTCATTTAGTTAATAGTTTGCGCTGTAAACATGCTAACTGAAACAAAGCTTTTCAGCCCTTGGAACTCTGCTCTTACTTTGTGGTGCTACACAGTGCAGAGATTAAACAATCATCCATCAAAGTGGGCCGTTTTTTGTCTTTGTGCAATGTAGCATGAGCATGCCCGTCTTTCCTTGTGGAGAGGTTTTGTGTGACAGACGTGAAGAGGTGGCCCTCACTGGGGATGTGTATTTCTGCCTGGCGTTAGCTCTAGCGTGAAATAAAAATCTACCACACGGCATCAAACTACTTTCTCCTGAGTGTATAACGGCAAGTTGTTGCTTGGCCCCAACTTATGATTTAGCATGTGTTTATTAAACCTGCAGTCTCTGTGAGATAGATATAAAAACTAAATCTCTGTTGGCTTTGTTGGACAGAGCAGTGTAGAATCTAAGATCTGGCATCCATTTTGTGTGCTGTTATACTGAATATAGTATGACTAAATGGCTTTTTCTGTGACTTCAATAAATATTAATGTCTCTTCTCTCCTCCAGCCCTTCTTCTGCATTGCCACTGTGCTCCTTCTGCCACTGCCAGGCAAACACAGAACTCTTCCATTTGCTCAGAAACTTAAACATGATCGATTTCCTTTTAAATAATACACTTTGGGGAGCAACTGACCTTTGGCTAAAGAACACAAAGTCTGGTCTTGTAACTATTGGAAAAGTATTAGGTCAGTGTTTCAGTACAGGGTGCGTGTCTATTTGTGGGAGTGACGCACTGATTATCTGCGCTGTGCGGGAGCAGGGATCGTTTGGTCAATAGTGGACAATGGAAAGTGCTTGCAGCAACCAGGCCTTCGTTAGTTGTCCGTCCTTTGAACTAATCTGTCAGGTCGGTGTCACTTAATGCTTCCCGTCCCTCCCAGTGTCTTGCACGCTTCTGTGCTGCTTCCCAGCCACCAAGACAAATACATTGCAGCTGTGCAAGGCACTTGAGGTCACTGGAGGGCAGGTGCACTAATGCACTCTTCTTTCTCACCGTTGTAATGAGGGGCTGTAGATCTTCGATAGGAAAGAAAGTAACTTCAGACTCCATTAATCCATCCTTGCTTTCAGGAAACTTATAAGCGGGAAAAACATGCTAAAATATTGAAGCAAAGAACAGAGGGCCTTGGCTGCGGGTTGTATAACAGACCTGTGGCCTTTGGGACTGAATGCTTTGTGTGTGTGTCCAGAGATTAGAAAAGATGAAGCAAGAGGAGAACCCCTCACCAGAAGGAACTATATCCTGGCAGGATTTTAGCCTGCAACATTCCCGGCTGACTGAATAGGCCGGAGGCTCTGACACTTGTAGCAAGAATTGGAACTCCAGGCCATTTTTCCGGTGAGTGCAAGCTAAGGTTGCGGTGCCACGGCTCTCTACTGGCTGTTAGGGAAATGCTGAGGGCGATGTCCAGGAGCGCTCTGCTCCAGAGCGCTCTCCTCCAAGGTATTTTTGAGCACTCAAATTCAGAGCTTTCCAGCCTAAAAAAAGAGTCTTGTACATTACTCCCACAAAATCCTGCGGTGCCATTTGGTCTATGAATTTTTTTCTGTGGGTACTGAAATGTCAGGGTTTGCAAAGGGGGGATGGAGGTGGAGAGGAGGAGAGAATAGATTGTCTCTTGGTAGAAGTCTCTACATCTGTGGGCTGCCATGTTTCAGTAATGTGTGTGCATTAAGCGCGATAATCCTGTTCAGCTTGAAACTATGATAAAAACTCTTTATTTACAGAAAGAGATTTTTTCCGTCCTTGATTATTTCTGATTTTTAAAGCAAATGTGGAAGTTACCATTGTGCTGGCCCTGAGCATAAAATAAACTGGTTCCTGACAAAAAAGGGGCATGTGGAAAGGAAGGATGTTGGCAAGTTTGCATTCAATGCAGCAAAGAATTACATGCACATTCACTGTTGTAAAACACATGGGAACAAAAGTAACTAAGCTTTACATTAGTCAAAATATTTATAGGAACTTTTTCTCTAGTTGTATGTGGGGGATAGTGTTTAATTTTAATTAAGATGGATTCCAAGCCCTCAGTCTTCTAAGGAGCGTGGGACAAGAGATAAGAATCTGGTTGGAGAATCTTTTTTACTTAATCATTGCTTGTAGTGTTCTCATTACTAACACGGTGCTAGCCCATGGCAAGCTAACTAGAAAGGGAAAATGAAATTCATTTAAGTTGATCAAAATGCAAAAGCTAAGCAAAACATATGAAAGTAATATGCAGTAAAAATTTTCCCCCAAAATCTGAAGTCTGTAAGTATTTGGAGTCCTTACACCTTCCTTAAAAATAAACGCTAATCAGATATGGATTTATTTTTCCTTATGTATTTGATCTACTTGATAGTTTGGCCTCGAAGATAAAGTTCACTGGAATTTGAAGGGTGACTGAAGAATGACAGTAGACTGACTAGCTAGCCTAATCTTTTTTTACAAAGACTCCTGTATTGTGCTGTCAGTACAGTAACAGCCAGGCAAATCCAGGAGAGGCAGCTGATGTTGGAGAAATGGCAACGTGCCTCGGTGTTATGTCTTACCTGAACTGAGTTTGATTGCTACTGTCAGCCCAGTGTGCTGCAAGGTGGTCACAACTGATAGTCCGAATGCAAATACTTATTCCACTTTGTGCCAGCTCTGGTTTTATCAGCTGTGCTGCTGTAGTAGGAAAGCTGTTCCATTTCCATGCTTTGGAGGCAGATGAAGATGCAGTTAGTTGTTAGCTGGTAGGGTAGTGCCATAATTATGAGGACAGGCTGGGACTCTGTTGTGGTTTAACCCCAGCTGGCAACTAAGTACCATGCAACCACTTGTCCACTCCTCCGCCCCTAGCTCCATCCCTGTGGGATGGGGAAGAGAATACGAAAAAAAGGTAAAAGCCATGGGTTGAGATAAGAACAGTTTAATAATTGAAATAAAAGAAAATATAATAATAATAATTGTAATGAAAAGAGAGAAGAACAAAAAGAGAGAGAAATAAAACCCAAGAAAGCCATGTTTTATTGTCTTTCATAATACAGTTGCTTACCACCCGCTGACTGATGCCCATCCCGTCCCCGAGCAGCGATCGGCCCCTCCCAGCCAACTCCCCCAGTTTCTATACTTGACACTCTATGGCATGGAACATCCCTTTGGTTGGTTGGGGTCAGCTGCCCTGGCCATGCTCCCTCCCAGCTTCTTGTGCACCTCCTGGCTGGCAGAGCATGGGAAACTGAAAAGTCCTTGGCTTAGAGTAAGCACTGCTTAGTAACAGCTGAAACATCAGTGTGTTATCAGCATTATTCTCATATTAAATTCAAAACACAGCACTGTACAGCTATTAGGAAGAAAATTAATTCCACCCCAGCCAAAACCAGGACAGACTCCAGAGATCTAGGTTCAGTTTTCTACTGATTACCCTACAGGGTTGAATTTGTCTTTGAATCTTGAACTGGAAAGCATGCCGAAAGGTCAGTCCTTCTGCCTTAAGGTAGCATCAGTTTGCATTAGTGCATGCCCAAGCCCTTCTAGGATTCTAACCTGTTTTTAAAGGCTCCCAGCAGTGCGGCTTCTGCAGCCTCCCCAGGCAATGTGCTGTACTGCTGAATTGACCTTACCTTTGAAACTTTTTTCAAATATTTAACCTAAGTTTCAAAACAGGAAAAAAATCAAATCCTTAAAATTTGTCCTACCCTCAAAGGACCTGGAAACTGGAATGTTTATTTTTTCTTTGCAACAGCCTTTTATGTATTTAAAAGCTCTTACCTCCCCCAAGACCTCGTACTTTTTTCTCAACTGGTCTAAATACTGTTTCAGTCTCTCCTCATAGGTCCAGTTTTTCTCCTTCAGATTCTCTGCACTTTTATTGCAGTGCCCTAAATGGACTAACTGTCATTGAGGCTGCACTGTACCTATCTCAGTCTGTTTCTCATCTCTCTACAGGGGATAATAATGTTTCTCTCATAGGTGTACTGCAGTGAAGTCTGAGAAATGCTTATATTAATTATTGACTTGTCCCTGTCACAGATCCTGGAGAGAGGTTGGAAAGCCTTGAGAAAGATTTACTCTCAGTCCTACTGTTGTCTCCAGTATTAATCCTTGCTAAGACTTTTTACTTTTTTTATTCAGTTTGTACGTTAGGAGCTTCCCTAGGAAATCGGAGAGAACAGCCTGGATATGTGTGGGAGAAGCAAGGATCAATTCCCATCTCTGGATTACAGTCCACAGACTTGAGGTCAGCTTCGGCTGATGCCCTGGGAACTGGCCGTTGATGAGTCTGGAGTGTAACCTCTCCCACTGCAATGAGGAACCTTTACTTTTCTGTCTGATCAAAAGTTCCCACAGAAAGCTGAGATACATAAAAATGTTCATATAAAAATCTGTTGTTGGAAGGAGGCTCTGTTACAAGGCTAAGTTTGGACTTCAGTTCTCAGTTCCTTGAGTGAATGTAAGGCCTTTGATGTTCCTGTCTAATTTTCTTGTTCTTTCTGTGTCGCAAAGGGTGGCTGTGGCAATGCTGGCTGTGTTTTCCCACCTGGGTGTTCCTTGTGGCCGTTCATGTCTAGAGGTGTCCTGATCAGCTCTCGTAGCTGTTACTCTGGTCTGTTGTACTGCAAATGAGGAAGGATGTTATGACTGATTCAGATCACAAGATCTACAAGAAAACCTGCAGTTGGATGTTCCTGTAACTCTGCTGAAGAGTTGATTTGGGATTATGCTGTGATGAGGAGGGGGAACTGTTCTTACTCTTTCTATAGGAGCTTCCACTTCTGTATGG